CGAGAAAATTTGATCGTATTTTCAAACTTCAAAAGAGAGCAGTTCAGTATTTATTGGGATTGACCAGTAGAACTCACTGCTAGAATTTCTTTAAAAATATTTAAATACCGACTCCTCCTTCTTTATTCATTTTTGAATCCGTTTGCTTAATCCGCACGCACATATCTGCTATTCCCGAAAGGCTTTCTCACAACAATCCACTTAGTAATGCGGAGCATGATCTTTATCTGCCAACCCCGAGCTCAGAACTAGTTAAAGTCTCAATACTGTACAGGGTGGACCATTTTGATTGTTTCTATAGGGTATCTAGGAAACCGTGAGAAATATTCAAATTTTGATACTGCAGTCTCGGGTTCCTTTTTTGAAAAAATTATAATGGCGCAAACGGATCGTGGCTATCTTGATCGGTTTCGAAGCTACAGGGGGATTCTCAGATTTTGTACTTTTTGAAGATGTTCGATAGTTTGTTTATTTCAGCAACCACGGAAAAATGAATTATACATTCTAAAGGCACTTTTCTATGTAGAATGCAGTGGCGTAGTCAGACTTTTTTCGAATAAAATATTTTTTGAGATATTAACTATACTTATGTTTTTTAAAATAGAACCCCCTGTATATTTTTAAATTTTTTTATTCAGCTTGGCATGGGCTTCTCGAAAATATATAACACTTTATATTTATTTTCACTATTAACCTCAATATTTCAAATTTTTCTTAAAATATCCACTTAGTGGATAGTAGGCCGCGCCGAGGAACAAAGTAAACGGTTGTCATGGTGATCGGAACATACCTTTGATGGATGCGGGACATTTCATTTCAACAGATTGATGTATCTTAGATAATAAAAAAATGAGTAAATTTGAAAATTTTGAGAAATATAATATGTTAGAATGTTATATTGAGTCTAACAAACATAAGCAAATGGCAGCTGATTTATATTTTGAGCGGTATCCAGAGCGCGAGCTTGGTTGCTCGCGCTCTGGGTTTGGTTACCCAGCCATTTTTAAAAGGTTAGAAGAAAGTTTAATCAATTTTGGATCTTTTGAAAAACCGTGTCGCAAAAAATGATCAGAAAGAAGATGAAGAAAATCAATATTCATTTTTCATCATACTCATTTTTTTATTATTTAAAATACACACACTTCAATCTGTTGAAATGAAATGTCACGCATTCATCAAAAGTATGTTCCCATTACCATGACAACTGTTTACTTTGTTCCTCGGCGCGGCCTACTATCCACTAAGTGGATATTTTAAGAAAAATTTGAAATATTGAGGTTAATAGTGAAAATAAATATAAAGTGTTATATATTTTCGAGAAGCCCATGCCAAGCTGAATAAGAAAATCTTCAAAAAGTACAAAATCTGAGAATCCCCCTGTAGCTTCGAAACCGATCAAGATAGCCACGATCCGTTTGCGCCATTATATTTTTTTCAAAAAAAGAACCCGAGACTGCAGTATCAAAATTTGAATATTTCTCACGGTTTCCTAGATACCCTGTAGAAACAACCAAAATGGTCCACCCTGTGCAATGCCAAAAAAATGTACAATCATCTGTCGATGAAGCTATTTTGGCTTTTTGTACAATAAAGCGTTATTTATTATTATTATAGAGGATAAATTAAATTAAATTATGTAATAATTTAATTATGTCTGTCCAAAAATATTTCTTTGGTATAAAATGTATTTTTTAAAATTTATCAAGGGACAATTTAGTGTCACATATCATTAAGTAGGTATACTTTAGTAGTGATCGTCTATATAATTTATTTATATATATTTTTTTATTATATATATTTCTGACATTCAATCTAATCAGTCATCAGCTATTTCCCCGCCATAACAATAATTGAATAATCATTCATCCAGATTCAAAAATAAGTCTAGGTTATATATATAATATATTGGTCGATTTAAGACGTTTTTCTACGTTGTCCGATACCCAATTTCCAGCCTGTCCTATACGTACAATCCTCTGTTGACAGGTTTCTTTTAATCGTTGCTTTGTGTACGCTTTTTTGCCATTCCAATGTCGGTCTTCCCTGTTTTCTTCTGCCCTTTGGTTGCCAATGGATTATTTTCTTGAGCCATCTTGTATTCTTCATTCGCTCTACATGTCCGTACCAGATCAGCTGCTTTTTCTCTATACCCAGTTTTCTTGACCGTTGTCCATGTTCGAATTTCCCTTGGTGCACCTATGCATAGATATTTTGTTTTGTCTATGTTAACACTTGTCAAGCCCCATTCTCCGCATTTTTACTTATTCTTACACATTTTTCCGTAACATTCCCGTAATTTAATATTTACACCCCATCCCAAAATAATTCTTCGTTATATCATAGTTAAATCGGAGTTAACCCAGTTATCTCCAACAAAGGGAGCATTAAAATTAAGTGCGAACATAAGAAGTTTTCCGTTTAAGTTTCGAAGTAGATTCGCAACCGTTCAAACTGAAACTACCGAAGCACCCTCAGGCAGCGGCATAACCAGCCAAAACTGAAATCGTTACCTTTTAAATTAGGTGGTAATTTAATAATGAAGCAAACTTTATATGCCCCGAAAATTTGATAATATAACTAGGAGTAATTTTTCATTTCCATATTTGCATCTCGAAGCCTCATTCGAGTTTCTGAATATTCAAACTACTTATCTAGTTAATTACTTACTTCACCGGAACAACTTTGAACCTGGCTCGTAGTGTATAGCTTAAAAATACGAGTTTATACCACCGTAGGAAGTTATTAGAGGAGAAGGGCAGTGGATTGAGCTCTGTGCTATTGTTCATTTCTGACAAAGTTGAAGTTTGGCACTGCGTTACTTTACCATTTACTGTTCGAGTGCTCTGTCTATCCCCCGAGGGATATTTAATTGTTTTCAAACTGTTTTAACCTATTTCCACCAATGAAAATTAAATTAAATTATTTAATAATTCAATTATCGCTGTTCAAGCATATAATTACTTTCTTATATAAATATTTTTTAGAAAATTAAACAAAAATAAAAAATAAATGATTAAACACTTCACTCGCAGTATTTAAAACGCATTTTCAGATTGTGAAAAGCTATTTTAATACTAACAGTAACTTAAAATAGAGGTTTTAGTATCAATATTCACTCTAAGAAAGTAAACTTTAATACTGATTGTCTGTAATAGATATCTACGATACAAGTGAGTTAACAGCATCACTAAGATATGCGTGTGAAAGTTGCACGAGTGCGTAGCACGAGTTGTGTAACCACACAAGTATCTTAATGGAGTTGACTCGCGTGTATTGTACAATATTTTATCTACGTTTAACTATAAAAACACACAATGAATTTTAGAAATTATTGTACTTAACTATATACCTATCCTAAAAATCAATTACCTTAATACCTTTATTCAAATAACACAATGCATGGCAATGTCAATATGATAGTAAATAATATTGATGTCACTAGTTTAAAAAATGAGCGATTCGGAAAGTATTCCCTCTGACATCGAAGAAGAGGCATTCAGAACCATTTCTGGATTGCTTCCAGCAAGATCGAAACAGCAGTATGAAAATACATACTCTAAGTATGTAAAATGGTGCACCGAAAATATAAGTACACTACTATGGAAATGAAAAGGTACTCATAACATATTTATCCAATTTAATGCAAAATAAATATTTTACAAAATATTTTTTCTCTTTGGTAGTCATCTAAACAAGGAGTACGGTAATGAAAATGCGTGAATTAATACGCATTCTCAGTGAGTTAAGAGCTTCTTAACTCACTGACGTAGATAAAACTTATTAATATATTAATTTTCCTTATTAGAAGTGTTTAAGTTATTGGTAGAAATAATATCATGCAAACTTTGAAAAATTTTAAAATTTTACATTATATTATTATGATTTTTGATATTTTAAATATATCATTTCCAATATTTTAATATTTGATAAAAATATCTGAATCTCAGTTCCATCAACTCTAAGAACAAAGAACAATCTATTATAAGATAGTCGCGCGATGTTTGGAGAACTGTAGTCAGTTGGAGACGTATGGGTCAAGGCCAAGAATCGCAAAGCTTTTAAGGAAGATTTATGTCCAACTGTAGAGGCGTGAATCTGACTGATGGTGATAAGAGGGAGTAAACATTAATAATAAAACAAAAGCCGGTGTACAAAAAGATATTCACGGATGATACACGTAAAAATATTCACGGATGATACATATAAAATAGGATTTACTGAAAGTCAAACAATTATAACATACAGGGTGAGTCTTAAATAAGTGCAAATATGTTTACGGGTTGTATATTTCGACCCCAGAAACACGATTATGAGGTTTATTTCGCAATTTTTTTTTTTTAATTTGTAATTTTTTGAAAAAAAATTTGGAAATTCTTTTAGTTTTTAGTTAAAAAACATTATTTCTTGATAATATGGCAGCATAGGTAGTAGATTAAATTTACAAGAAAGAAAAATCGGAAAAGATGGTTCTCAAATTTTGAGCAATAGAGTAAAATAACTCGGTTATTTTGAACTTAGTTCAAAAACAGTAAAGAGAAAATATGTTTCTTTTATCGAGATCTACCAGCCCTGAAAATATTTGTACTTACCGAAGGCTCACGCTATATAGTATGGTCGTAAATTCATTTTTGATTAACTTTTTAGCCATTTTATTGGTTTTTATCATTAAAGTAATATTAATATTAATTTTTGTTTCGATAATGATCTAAAAAGAAGATAGATAAAATCAAGAAAAATATAGGTTTTAAAAAAGTTTAAACAAACATTCTTAAAAATGACCACAGTTGTATTTTGAGTTACTTTAGTTTGCAATTATACAATTTAAAATATAACAAAGCATTGTGTCAAGTTTGCTTCCCCAACTTGTTTTATGTTAATTAAGTTACATTAAAAAACTTTAACTCTCATTTTCTCCATAATTATCTTTTAGGATTTGATCCAGTTCACTTCTGAACCCCTTATATATAACAAATTATTTTTTTTTATTTGCAATATTTCAGAACTACCCGAATCACCGAGAAGTTGTTCGGTACGAAACTCCACTCAAGGCTTTCTGGAAGTATCTTGCCTGGCTGGCAACGACGGTGGGCTTCGGCAGAACTTCGTCCTGGAAGTGAGTGATGTGTCTGGACCTGCACCCCCAGGTATCCACTCAACATTAAACGATCAAGGTTAGATTTCAGATGAAGAGTAATTTGTGTCCTGTGCTTGTCTTTCACACGCTATTTCAAAATTCTTTTGTCTATTAAAACTCTTTGGTCTCTACTTTATTTTTTTTTAAATAACAACATATATAATATAACAACATATAGTAAACCTAATTAATAAGAACCAAAATTATCTAAAGCGTCGCTATTGTATACACCCCTTTTGCAAAGAAGACATAGGAACATAGAATTTAGTGTTTTTAAGGAATTGAATATCTATCCTGAAAGATTTCAAGCATTTGATAGAATGAAAAAAGAAACCTTTGATGTGCTAGTTAGAAAAGTTGTTCCCAACCAAGTCTTGTTTATTCCTTTTGGAATAATCGGCACGAGTGTGGTCATAAATCCACGGTTTAGTTTCAATCAGTAATACAAAATGTATATTGAAGTCCGGATCGTCCTTCATTTTTGCCAAATTTGAGTAACGTGTTAATAGCACGTAGCGAAAAGTAGAACCAGTTCTAGTTTTGAAGCAGTGGCATGACATGCTACAACAGTGTGACAGCGCTACTTCAGTGTGCGCTGACACACTTATTGTCGTTTGTTCAATTCGAAATAACTTGTTAGATTCAAGTTACTTGCCAGATTACGTTCCACGTCAGATGCTACGTCACTTTGGAGGGCGCTCTCACTAAAGGAAGAGAGAAACAAAGGCTAGAAATAAACTTGCCAAATTTTGACACAATGAACGATATTTCGATCAAAGGTTCTTGTTTCTTTAAGACATATTCTATAGAAGTAACACTGCCTTACTTAAACCTTAATATTAACTAAGTTTTAGCACACATGATTAACTTATTAATACCATAAACACTTGGCACATACTGTGAAAAAAAAATGATTCTAAAAAAATCTTATAATAGTCGTATTTTTAGGAGAGGAAGCAACGCCGTTTAGATTCTTTGGAGAACGACCTGTATTTAAATTGTTAAATCTGCAACCAAATAGAGAATACCAGGCTATAGTTTATGCTGAAAATGCAAGGGGGCGCAGTAATCCTCCTGTCATTTTACCTGTTATACGACGCACATACGATGGGTCCATGGAGTCGCTTCAAGAAGACGGTAAGTTCGATTGTTTTAACTAGTTAAAATTTCAAACTTCTAAATGTGTGTAACCCCATATTCAAAACAGATTACAAAAGGTAGCCATACACATATAGCTTTTCCTCACCTAAAAGGCTCCTGTGTCAGAAGTAATCAAATACCTTATCCCGATAGAATTGGTACAGTCAACACTACACATAAGTCTGTCTATATGGACAAGACATTAACTCTATATACAGAGGACACTATACTCTATGAACACCTAATATATTATACAGTTTTTTTTAATTCTGTATATATTGCTATTTAAATAAATAGGGACAAGCTATGGCACAGAATATTTCAACAGGAAAACAAAATATACGCTTAAGTTATTACGAGTTAAATAATTAGGAAACATTTACTTTACCTTTATTAACGGAAATTTACAAACCAAATTAACATCAATTCGTCTCAAACGGTAGTCTAAGAGCTATTACCTAACACCTCTCAACATCATCTCTGTTCGTTGTCTGATTTCTCTTTCCCTAGTTTTCGAATAAATATTTTACAAATCAGTAATTATTTATGTACACAGAGTGTCTTAGAACTGAATATTTTGAGTTTAAAAACATATGTTTTTTACATGCAAAAAAAATTATTTTTTATATGTAAAAAACTATTTATAACACGTAAAAAACTATTTTTTACGCAAAAACAAATATATTTTTTGATTTATTACTTTTTCAACATTTTAAACTACACTTTTTCAAACATATCTTTCAAATCCTTCAATTTAATAGCTATTAGGAAGACGTTTTACTTCAAATATACGCAAGCAATGCACACACATTCTTTTCTTATTTAAAATTACCCCCCCCCCATATTAAAATTTCCAATTTTAATTTTGTCTTTATTACTTAATATCGATATACAATCCACACACTTTCGTTCATATTTACCCGAAAACCGAGCAACTCCTACGAAGTTATAGAGTGGAAAATTAAGTTAAGTTCGAGTTGATTTAATCCCCGAAACGAGCCATTTAGATTACTCAAAAGGGTCAAGCCTTATCAGATCATTGGACCCTTCGAAGGGTCGTAATTAGACGACCTCACGTTCGGTAACGTTCGGTTTTCTTGATTTTAACTTCGGGATTAAGTATTAAGGAGGGATACTGGAGTAACAAAGCCACGGCCATTTCCCTAAACCAATTCCAATTCGGTATTAGGGTTATTTCATGGTGACAGGTTGACGGACCATCAAATATTTGAAGGGTTAAGTGAACAGCAAACATGACATTTCTACCTAATATGTATATCATAAATTAGTAAATGAAGTTGTTATTCCCATTACAATTTTTGGGGTTTTGTTTTTAAATAGTAAAATACTAAAGTAAATGTAAAGTTTGATAAAATAGGTTTCACATTATAACACTTCCTTAAAACAAATAAAACATGCATAGTGTTAAAGAGTGCCATAAAAAGAGTTTTGACTATTACTGTGTTACTAAAACTGTTTAGTAACAGTTAATACTTCAGTTGAGTTCTAGTGAACTCAACTGAAGTATCCCAACTGCCGGCAGCTGATACTAGACTAGAAATATAATTGATATTTGGCAAATTTAACATCTACAATTATAATATCATCAATATAAGTCTTGAATTGCAATAATGTTTACCTAAGTTAGTGTAGGAATATTTATAAACTTATATAATAGTAGCTCCCGTATACAGACCGGACCACCGTAGTAGTAACATAGGCAGAACCGGACGAATTAGCGTATACCCGTCCGCCGGATAAAAAGCAGGCGAAAAAATGCGATAAAATAAAAATAGGTAGATATGTCGTGATAAGAATGTTTCATAATTTGTATTTATTCGTGTTTTAATAGCCAAAACGAATACATAGATTCTCGCGACAGTTCTCGTGTAAAATTTATTTTTTAAGTAAAATACTGGATGTTTACGAAGTTCGTGAGAAAATTCAAATTGTATAATGGTATTTCCAAAATAGGTCTTATCGGGATATACACACAATTTTTCCACAAACTTTTGTAAACAGGGCAATTCTATCTTTACCTACTATATCAAGAATTATTAATAATTTTGAAACACATGGGTGCGTGTCCCCACAAAAACACAAGAAGCCTGATGTGTTGATTAATGAAGAACAGGAGTTAAAGCAAGTGTTTAACCGTTTAATTAGTGGATATGGAACTATTTTGTGACCCGCTAGATCACCAGATCTTTCTCGCAATGATTTCTTTTTGTGGGGTTATGTAAAACCCAAAGTGTATGGTCATAATAGGGCTAATAATCTGGATCAGCTTCAAGTAAAAATACGAGAGGCTTTCCAAACTATTAGCCCTAATATGTTAGCCAATGTCAGACGGGGATTTTACGACCGCCTAGGCTTCTGTCTAGCACAAGAAGGTGGTCTTTTTCAACAGTTGTTATAACTTTTTTTATTTAGAGTAATATTTTAGTTTTTTTGGGTTTAGAGAATTTATTTTTTTTTTGTTTTGGCTTGTAAACACACTCAAATAATAAATACTCGGCACTCCTCGCGTCGTATTCCTAGTCTGTCACGACCGACCCGTCCAAGCACAACTGTAACTGCGTACTGCCTGACTAACCGACTAGCCGGCAGTGAATCTCGAGTACGAACGCAAATTGGGTAAACGTAAATTCGTCCGGCAACTTGCTATATTACTAGTAGCCTGGTCTTCTCTGTATAGCGTTTAACACCTTGGGAGTAGCAAGGTACAGCTTGCCATGCGAGAGCCGTTCGGTATACAAGGAAGGTAATGTGGCTAGCACTACGTTTCAACCGCCTATTATTACCTCAGGATTGTGAATCCCAAGTACTCATTTAAGCCTGAGTCGACCTAGGTAACCAAACTATTTTTATTTTAATAAAAACAGTCGGCTGATGAAATACCGGGTGTAGGATTCGAACCCACTACCTTGAGATTGGTAGACGAGAGCCTGTACCTCTACGCCACCTGGCACCTTATATTTATAAACTTATATTAAATAAAACACACTATTATATTGCTAGTTTTTATGATATTCTGTGGTATATTTTGATCTGTATTTGATAGATTTGAAAAAAACAATTTGAAATAAAACTCTGTTCTCTCTCGTTTCAGGAAATGGGCCATTATACGATTCGATGGATACTTCTGGATTAGGCAAACCTCATAGACCTGTTAGCAATCAGAACCTGACTATTATCATTGCCGGTATATCAGTAACTGCAGTACTGCTTATAGTGATAGTTGTGGTTGTATCGACAGTGATAGCCTGCAAAAAATCAAGAGGTATGTGTAAAGAATACATTTAAAGAACACTGTAACAATAGTACCTTATCTACATTTACACAAACCTTAAAATAATATATTTCCATAAACTTTTATTCCAACAATTTTGTTTAAACCCAATAAAGTATTTTTGGGTATAAAAAAGAATCCACTATTCTCCAATTTTTAGTAAAAAATAGTAGATATGGTCTTTATAACAAATGGATCTAGAGCTTTTTTAAGAATTTTTGTATATTACATGTTAACGTTTGTTTGAATATTTTATATAGAAAATCAACACCTTTAAGCCTGGAATTGTGTGTATTCTTCGAAAAAGCTTAAATCAACAAATAATTGTGTATCATAAAATTACAAATTATGTTTTCTATGCCATCATTCTTATACATAACTTATGAGATTTGTTGGTAATCTAAATTACACCTAATTTCCACAAATAAAATTGTGTATGTAAATAAACTTAAAAAATGTTATTATTATTTATGTACTTCGTCATGTCTGTCGTGAAAATAGCAAATAATGATGTATTATTATTGAGTTTTAAATATTTTGTAGTACGAAATACGACGATACGAAGAAGAGAAAGAAGAAGCAGCAAACCACCCAGTGAACTGGAACTCTCAGAAGCAGGGTTTGGGGAGGGATTTCACAGAAGAAGTGCTATGTATAGAGCGAGTATGTATGGAGATTGCGAGGAGAGGATATCTCGATTGATTGAAGGTACATAGATCGCTTTTTATTTTTCAGTTTGTAAATGCTGAAACACGATCTACAATTTATTATAACGTATTAATACTACTTAACAAAAAATCAGGATTCATCAGGCAACGTAATGAATAAATTTAATCAATTATTGTTACTTTATGCAAAAAAAAGAAAATGTTCCGATGTGCATATGATAAGTTGAATAGAGTATAATTTTACAGAGATACCTTTAATTTGTTTTAATTGGACATAGAAATTTGACTAAAGTAATAGCCTCTAACTGAAGAGAATTTTCTCTTCATAAATAACAGATCATATTTTTTTAATTTTTAACTGTCTACTTTTTATTTTAATTTCATAACCAATTTTTATACCTTGTAAAAAACGACATATTATTTATTTGAGTTACATGACAGTAAAACTTAAAAAGTATAGGAGAACAAACATATTTGTCGCTAAAACTTTCATTTCAACCTTCTATTGAAACCAGAGTTATTTATCAAACAGATCTAGGAGAATTGTCCGAAAACAATCGACCGAAGGAGAATTGCCCGAAAACAATTGACCGGAAGGTGTATTGTCCGAAAGGATAATTTCCCGTAAAGGAAAAAGCAAAATAAAAACACTAAATCACCACAATACACCAAAACACTTTTACTTTTACACTGGACGCGCGTTTCGCTAACCATGTTAGCATCATCAGCAGATGATTATAAACTAAAGTACAATCTACAAGTTGAGCGTTTATATACTCGCCCAGTGGGCACCGAGTGGGCGTGGCAAAAACTAGCCAACCGAGTCAGAGCCAACTGAGCGTAACAGTTAGATTTCCGCCACTAGAGTAGTAGGAACAAAGAACTTGAAGGAATTGGACCGTTGTCTCTGTTCATACTATCTTTACATTTATTAATTCTGATGCTTTCATATGCATCTAATTGCCTGTAATTTGAGACTTGTTTAATTGGAATTTGATTTGGTTTGGTTTGAGATATATTCCTAATGAATCACATCATAGTGTTGAACATAAAATGGCTAGTTTAAATTTCTTAGTTCATAGATTACTTAGTTTCCCACTTTCCAACGAAAGATATGAAATAGAAAGAGATTACATTAGGAATGTAGCTGAGTGTAATGGATATTCTCCTTCACTTGTTGATAAATTAATTAGAAAACGTAGGTATAGGTTAATGATTTCTGAAAATTCGACTTTTCAAGTGGAGAAAGATACGTCTAAATATTTTTCGATACCGTTTGATAGAGAGTTATCCCGTGGTCTAAAAGGAATTTTTAAGAATGTTAATTATAAACTTGTGTATAGTGCTAATAATAAATTACAACAATTATTAGGTAATCCAAAGGATAAAACATCTCCACTGGAAAGGTCGGGTATTTATGAAATTTCTTGTAAAGATTATAATCAGAAATATGTTGGGCAAACTAGAAGATCAATATTAACTAGATTTAAAGAACATTTAGCTCAGATAAGATATGGTAGACCGGATAAATCTTGCGTTGCCGAACATGTTGTTGATAAAGAACATTGTATAGATCTTAATAATTTAAAATTAATTAAACAAGTCTCAAATTACAGGCAATTAGATGCATATGAAAGCATCAGAATTAATAAATGTAAAGATAGTATGAACAGAGACAACGGTCCAATTCCTTCAAGTTCTTTGTTCCTTAAATCCTACTCTAGTGGCGGAAATTAACTGTTACGCTCAGTGGGCTCTGACTCGGTTGGCTAGGTTTTGCCACGCCCACTCGGTGCCCACTGGGCGAGTATATAAACGCTCAACTTGTAGATTGTACTTTAGTTTATAATCATCTGCTGATGATGCTAACATGGTTAGCGAAACGCGCGTCCAGTGTAAAAGTAAAAGTGTTTTGGTGTATTGTGGTGATTTAGTGTTTTTATTTTGCTGTTTAACACCAAAGGTTCCAACCCTCAACTGTAATCTTCGTAAAGGAAAAACACCGAATTACAATTGCCAAAAATAAAAATTCATTGATATATCGATTTTTGTTAAAAGAATGCTTTAATACAGGATCTTTAAAAACGGTCAGATTAATAAAAAGGAAACGAAACCAAACCAAACCAACATTTGTATTTTAGATACAAATAACTGTGCAGTAACAGTTTCTGCTTTACCTTTATGATTACAAGAAATTCGACTACCATCCTACGTATTAAAACTTGGATGATCATGCACAATAAATACAACTTTCTAAAAATTAGCAGGTATGTCAATGATATCGGCCTGACAATGACAATGACCTGACCATTATTGCTTTTTCGGGCAATTCTCCGGATCGGTAAAATGTGCTTAGGGGAATTATCTTTTCGGACAATTTTTTTAGGGCAATCTTAGTTTTGGTGATTTTCTTTCGGTCAATTTTCCTTCGGTCAATAGTTTTCTGACAATATTCTGGATACATTATTGGATATATACAATATTATTGTTATTGCGCGTGAAATATCTGCTGCATATTTACATTCGCTGATGACATAGTTCTAATTTCCAATAGACTTGAAGAACTACAAGCACACACTAAATACAGCCTCAAAATGAGTTTAGCAAAAACTAACGTAATATACAACAAACTAGTAGACAGAAAAGACATTCCAATAAATAACACAAAACCGGAAACAGCTGATAAATATTGGGGACAACTAATACAGAGCTCGGCATCTGTACTTACTACTGTATCTTTGATTATTTATGGTCCTCTTTCCTTCGATTGACTCTATTACCAGTCCATTGACGCCGGCAATATAAAAAATAGAGCTGCCGGTGACGATGAAAAAACTGTACTAAAATAAATTAAAATGTACCGTACGACAGTATGTAAAAAATAAACATTTAAAATGTAATAGATTATCCAATAATACTCGACAGGCAGAATATGGTATCGCAGATTTACGCTATATATTTACGTCCTCTTATATATCTTTAGCGATATATTGCGAAACTAATTTAAGCGAATCCTTGGACCTGCACCAGTTTCCATTTTGCTGATTAATTTCAATATAAAGTATTCTCGCCGTACAATTAATTACCAAGGTTTACTCGAGGAGCTCGATAATCCATTCTCCCACTGACCAACTAAATAAACACCATAGAATGCGTAATGCGACGATTTGTCTTGCCTCGCCGCGATTCCAGCGTCCTCCGGGAGTTATTAATGAGATGTTTATATTGCAGAAGTCCTAGGCCAGGGATGGGTGGTGAACGTGGGAGTTTATTACTTTACTACATTTTGTTCGTAAAGGCCGTGACACACGAGCTATCTAGACGGCACGCAGAAGCCGAACGGCTAGCTAGCAAGAAAGTGCTAAGGACGCGTGCTGGTAGTACGTGAAAACTATTTTTTTATGCGTAAAAAACTATTTATTACACGCAAAAAACTCTTGTTACGTGTATAAAACTACTTTTTACTCATTATATAATATAAAACCATTTGTTACACGTAAAAACAATTGAGCGTCCGGATTGCACAACGACCTTAGCGCGTGGCCGCGGGCAGCTTAGTAGGCAAGGGAGACACGCGTTGTTGCGCGCCGATTTAACAAAATAAATAATTTTGAAACTGCTGTAATTTCGTTAATAATTATTGTTTCGTGCTGATTTTTGCATAGAAATACTCATGAGTAGTCTTTAGCGCTTCCGACAAGCCTAAATAAGTGGATTATTTTTTATATTTTGGATTTGTTTACATTACCGTAGCATATTATAACTTTGAGATAAAAATCTCTGTTATAAATTTCAAAACTGACATATCATAATATAAATAGTATCATTTAATTAGTTATACATTTAGTTAAAACATATTCAAAATTTAGATCGATCATTTGTTCGAGAAGTATATTTATAAGTAGTCTACGAGTTAGAAATATTCCGTATATGTATCAAAAACGACGTAAATGTAGATAGTAGATAGTAGATCAGGCAGTGAATATTACGTAGATATAAATGGGATGCTAGTGGAATTATATTGAAAGAATTAATTTTGGAAGCAATTTATTTAAATCTATACTAATATATAAAATCCTTAAGTGACTGACTCACTGATTAATCACGATCCTGTTCAAACCACTCAACGTAAGAAGCTCAATTTTGGCATACAGATTGATTCTCGGGTGTAGAGGTTCAATAAGAAGGGATTGTTCGAAATTCCAGTTCCAAGGGGGTGAAACCACCCCTCAAATATTACAATATCTTTTATTTAAAAAACCGTCAAGTTTCCGAAAAAACGCTTACACACGTACATATTAAACACGTTTTTTAAAAATGTATACATGGTGTTTCGAAAAATATGGTCATTGATTAATCACGATTAAAGCGCTTGACGTAAAAAGCTGATTTTTGGAAAACGGATTGACTTTAGGGTGTAGAGGTTCGATAAGAAGGGATTTTTCGAAACTCGAATTCTAAGGGGGTGAAACTATCCCTCAAATATTAAAATATTTTTTATTTAAAAACCGGTGAGTTTTTCTGAAAAACTCTTAAACACGTATATTTTATTTTGTTGTTTTACATATTTTAAGATTTTTTATAAATTTATAGCAGGGTGTTTTATAAAATATGACCATTAACTAATCACGATTCTGCTTAAACTGCTTGACGTTTAAAGCTGATTTTTGGCAAACGGATTGACTGTGGGGTGTAGAGGTTGGATAAGGAGGGGTTTCTCAAATCTCAAATTCCAAAAGGGTGAAAACGCCCCTGAAATATTACAATATTTGTTATTTAAAAAACGGTTAGTCTTTCGGGAAAACGCTTGGACAAGCATAATTTATTTGTTTTTTATATATTTTGAAATTTTTCAAAAAATCATACAGGGTGTTCCAAAAAGTTGGGTAATTTCTTAACCACGATTTTGCTTAAACTGCTTGACGTAAAAAGCTTATTTTTGGCAAACGGATTTTTCGAAAGTCAAATTTCAACGAGATGAAACTACCCCTCAAATATTACCAAGTTATATAATAATATCGCCATATTGTTTTTTCTCAT